ATCTTCAAAAACTTGATCTTGATAAAAAAATATTCTAATTGCAGATGGATGGGAGCAAAAATATGATTACGGAGAATTAACAGAGCAAAAAAAAAATTAATTTTTGAAATTTTAGGAAATCTGATTTATGCTTTCCTCTCAACTATTCGCATGAATGAAGATTTCTCGAAATTTCTGTTTCAGATCATTCAGAGTTGACAATCGTTTTTTCTGATGTCTCATTTATAATTTTGAAGTTAATGGACATATGTATCTACGAAGAGTGTCCGATAATGACCGCATAATCTCTCGTGAGTAGGTAGAGCGGACTAAACGTGAGTTAAGAAATAAAAGGCCGCTTAACAATATCTCACATTTGTAGCAAATAAATTTTATTAAAACTGTCAAGAGGGGTAAAATCCGAGTATATTTGAGCTCAACAAAATTTGACGAACATAATCCTACAATTCTAAATAAAAATTTCACGCAACTTTTCATATTTAAGATAATGAAAATATTTACATTTTTTAATTCAACATGCACATATTTTTCATATGGTTGTGGTAACGTATTAAATATTGCCTCGATACGCGATTTATCCAGCCTCTTTCGGGAGCGAAACTGGCCGTGGATAAATCTGGCATATTGCGATTTTGCGTGCGTTCTTTAGATTTTGACACCGAGATATGACGACCGCAGCAACGTGTTATGAGATGCAGTCGATCGAGAAATTATTTGACGATCATCTCTTCTTTTACTTCTTTTGCCAATCTGGTTGCCAGACTGGCATCTGATGCAGCGAAACGATCGTTGATTCTGACGAAAGATTTAACGGTAATTACGCCAAAGACGCATAACGCAATGATTTATCGATTATTTATGACAATCGCCGGCGAACTCTTTTCAACGACGCGTCTTTATCGTTATCAGTCATTACGCCTCCATCAACTCTGTTCGCCAAGTCAGAACGGGAAGTATGCTTCGATACATGCTTGCCATTGTATGATGATTAAATATGCCGGGATAGTTAGAAGTAATAATTTTGCTGTAGATATTGTTAGTTTGTAGATACAGTTAAAAGAACATTGCTAATCAAGATATTACTTTCCAATGAATAAATCTTATTTAATTTCGACAAAATTCGTCGTTTCGAGGTGAAAATCTGTAATTTTGTCTAGAATTTTTAAAGAGTTGTGAACAGAGTGATATGAGAATTATTATTATTATCATTGCGCTTTTCGCGTCAACATAAATATTTGATTCTCGTCGATGCTGTTTCATATGCTTTACCACACACGTGTGATACATCATCAAGCAGAAATATCTGTTGTACGAAACATCGCTCGATACTTAAAGTGTGGATCGACGGAAACATTTAGGCGGTAGATAGAAACGCGAACGAACAGTCGCAATACGTCGCATCGTCGGATAGACGATATCCAGGCCAGCAGCCGCAGGATGTCCGAATTAGGCATCTGCGTCATCATCAGTCTCAACAATTGTTCCGCTTTTTGTCCACCGTCGACTATCTCGTTCTTCGTGGAATTGAACGAATAACCACCTCGAATCTTGAACGCTATATTTTTGTGCTTTCGATTCCTTGAAAACTCGATCGTTTCTAGAATCGCAATTCGTATTTGTGTAACAAGAATGACGTGGAAATAATGGTCGTAAAATAAAAAGACGAAAAGGGAAAACTTTGGAAAATATTTCGTCCATTCGAATTAATAAAGAATTCCGTACAAATTATATAGTTTCAGTCGAATTGGCTGAATTTTTGATATGCAGTAGTTCTCGTCATTCTGAACGAATGTCTCAATGAACATAACTTGATTCGATGAGCCGATTCCGTGCTACAGGCCCTAGAAGGTCCTGTATTGTAACATGTAAAAGTATAGCTTTTTCGACATTATATGTGGCTCCACGAAGCTTCACTCCTGCGCCTGTGTATAATTATACATGTATATAAAAAATAATACGTAAAATAATATGTAAAATACAATAAAATAAAGTATAAAATGCAATAAAATATAGTAAAGATAATGAGTTCATCATCTTTACTATGTCATGTATGATCACGCGCGCGCGCGCGCGCGCGCACACACACACACACACACACACACACACGCGCGCGCGCGCGCGAGGATTTGGAATCATTAAATTCCACGAGAGTGAACCGTGGGAGTCACATATGTTGTCGAAAAGCCTATATTTTTACATGTTATAATTGGACCTTCTAGGGCCTATAACAGGGAAACAGTCCATAGGATCAACTTGTGCCCATTGGACATTAAAAATGACGAGAACTACAAGATATTAAAAATTCAGCCAATTTGACTGAAACAACTTTTCCATACGATTTTTGTACAGGGTCCTTTGCAATATTCCCAAAGTATTATAATTCCTGCAAGTATGAAATTATGAGATTAATTCTTGATTAATTTCTTGTAATTTGTTTGCGCGAAACTTGTTTCAAGATTCTTCTTATTACAAAATTTTCTCATTAAAACTTTTGAAGTATACTTTGCGAGACTGAGAAGGTTCAATGTTTCAAAGTTAGTCATTTTATTGGTATTCAGGAAAATTTTTGAAATTGTATTTTTAAAATTTTACTTTTTTCGAAATAAAAATTTATTTATTCTTCGATTATTTTTCTTAACAATGCAAATTTGATTGAATTGGCTAGCAATAAGTATACGCATCCTCATGTGTACATTCTCATGTTTACAAATTTTTATTTAAAAAAATCATCATAAAAAGGTAATCATAGAAGACGATACACACGGTAGAAGAGAGTAGTTTATTTAATATTATACTAAAGCGAACCTTCTCTTTTCTATTTTATAGATTTCGTTGTTCCAATTGCAGAAAGGAATAGATGTAGTCTTATGTCTTCTTAACTTACTGTATAATAATTTATCGTGTTTATTTCAATTTATTTAAAAATTGCATTAAGAATTTTTCTATATTTTTACTTATGATATAAAAATACCTGGAAAATCTGGAGAATTTTGTTTCTGCAGTGAATTTTGTTAGTAAGATTTAAATAAACATTCCGACTCATTATTACTGTTTTTTTTTTAGCAGGCAAACGTATTTATACGTCGGAAGATTTGAGTAAAGATGTTAGGAAGGCATTTGTCCGTCCATATTTCTGCTCCGTGATAAATGCGTTTGTATCTACATATTCTACGGGGCCATATGTTCACCGTTTTGTTCGCATGTGTTAAAGATCCCTGGGGATATAAAGCGTTTCTCCAGCTTACCCGAAATCATTTGCGGAGTGAATCGAAAGAGAGACGTTAGGAAATCTGTATCTCTCTCTTCGTGTTTTTTTCTTTTTTCCCTATCTCTTTCCAATCTGAGCAAACGCCGACCGAGAATTTAGGATCGTCTTGTCAGTAGGCTTTTTTGTCGGGCGCATATAACTCGATGGAAAAATAAATAGTGGTCCCCTTCGAGCAGTTATAAGTGCGATAAGACAAAGCGGTCTTGATGCGAAAGGGATACTTGAGAGACGTGAGAGAAGTGTAGGAAACCAAGCGCGGCTAGGAGAAAAAAAAAAGAGACCAAGAGAGAGAGAAACCAGCAACACGTGTAACATTGACTCCTCGTTGGCATAGTCATTGAACTCGATCGTCACTGCTCGCATTTTAAAAGAGTATAAATTTTGTTTATAAAATTTACATAATATAGAGCATTTACTATCTAAGAAACCTAAAAAATTTAGAATTTTCAGAGAGTTTCTTTTTTATCCCTGAAAATGAGGGATTTTCATGAAATTTTATTGTTGCTACTGAGGGAAATTTTTAGAGTTTGATTTTTAAATTTAAATCCTGTCTTTTTCTAATATGATTACGATACTTCTTTCTAAATTAACTGTCTCTAAATTAACCTTCTCTAACGATTAAATTATTTCAAAAGCAAGAGTCGGAGGAAATCTCAAGCGATTAAAATCATATAACAACGACTCATATTTTGTCAAATGGTGCCGCCGCGAGCCGAGATCATAATATTGATTTTTTAGATTCGCATGGGCAAAAATTTCCTCCTACTATTTTTTTAAAGATATTCCTGAATAAAAAGTAGTAGATGCGTAGAGAATCTCGCGCGAGGAAATTGTTGCCACTTTAATGTAATAAGGAGCAAATAATTAGTCCGCAATTGACTTTTGTCTTGTACGGTCGATCGTTTTAGTTTTAGTGCATTTGAATGGTATAGCCTTTTTCGTAGATGCTCATAAGTTCGACTTTCTATTATAAGGTCAAAATTAGACTTAAAAAAAAAAGGATAAATCAAATATCTCAGTAAATTATACAAACTCTTGTTATAACTATCCTACAACTCAAGCTGACAAGAGTTTATCAGTTTGTACCACTAAACAGTAAAGGTTATTAAAATATACATTTAGCTGTCGCTGACGAAGAGTGTGACAATAGCGTTAATTACTTCAAATCCTATTAGTTTTATATTTATACAGGAGGATTTCTAAAATAACTTATGCTCCAAAAAGAGTACTCTATAAAGTTAGCAGAACCAAATCAAATCGGAACTATCGGATATATTTGGTACTTACATGTTTTGTATTAAATTGTACCATTAATGATGATTTTGTACTGTGTGCCATTTCGAAAAAAATCGTGGCGCTGTTAGCTTAATATTAAGTTGGCAGGATCAAATCATCATTAAAAAAACAAAATAATAATAATAATAACAGACATCAATATGATTGAATTTGTACTAATTTGCATTAAGCAAAAACAATTTTATATTATTTGTTATTTCCAAGCAAACTGTGACTACTAGCTTATTACAGAGGCTATCCAGAAAATAAGTTCCGTTTTTAAACTTTGCCGTCGCGGTGGTGCGGTCACGATGGTACGCATGCATGCCGAGTTTATTGATTCATTGGCAAGGGATTGACGCGATTTTCAATTATTGGTTCAGTGCATACGCATTGTAACGTGTGTTTATAATGTTTAAACACAAATCGCGACGCTCGCCGCTTGCAGTGAAATACAGTCTATGATCCATTTTTTAAATGCGAAAAACATTAATGCAGCTGAAATTTACCGTCAAATTTGTGAAATGTCTCTGATTAATGTCGTCTCCAATTAATAGTAGTTTTAATTTTCCTTCACGGATATTCTTTGTTCTTATTGAAGATTTTCTTATTGCAATACTGCCACATAATAGCAGCTCTAATTCTCTGTCAAAAATTATTATTCCTCGAAAAAAATGTAAATTCTAATGTACCAAATGAAAAATTAAAACCCAGACGCTACAGTCTTAACTAATCAAGTTAAATTCTATCAAATTAAAAAATCTAAGATACTATCTTTGTTATTTATTTAACTCTGATGATATGTATCATTCATAAAAAAAGATTTGATATCAACAATTGACGCCAAGTTAAATCCCATTACCGAATTAAATAAATAATATTAACTCTAACGTGTATCATTCGTATAAAAGATTTGTTATCAACAACTGGTGCCAAGTTAAATGGTCCTATACCAAATAAAATAAAGAATATAATCCATAATTGCGTTGTTTATTCAAGTGTTACCACAAATAATTAAAGAAGTAAAGACTTGGTGTTGCTAGATGCACGATATAACATAAAGCTAAAAACATAAACGTAATATTTAAAATAAGAAGAATGAGAAACATTCCCATAAGAGTAAAAGTATCCAGCGTAGGTATATACTCGTATATTCGATTGGGTTAAACAGTCGTATAAGTTACAAAAGCTGTGCAAGCTATTAGGTTTAAGTCTAAGATAAATAAACTTGGATGAAATACCATTGAAAGCACAAGACGCATGAAAGTTACACAAGTGATATTATTTATTGGCAGAACGAAGATCTCTAATTGTAATAATACGAGCTGCAATAACGTGAACAATCCTTGGGGAGAAAAGCGAAACAAGGAAGTTCATCCCGGAGAATCAGCGGAGTCAATTAATACGCTAGTCGACGCCGTCCATTAATGAAATTACTTAGGCTTGCCTTAGTGGCGACTCTCCGGTCGCTCTCCAGAGTAAGATATATTATCATCTTTAATTTGAAATATTCCCTTTTCAGAGGAAGAGCAAGTATCAAGAGGCGAAACTAAAGGCGCTCAAAGCGAGAAACGAGTACATCCTGTGCTTGGAGGCTTCAAACACGACGATACACAAGTATTTCGTCGATGACCTATCCGATCTCATTGACGTAAGTTATTCATTCATGCTCGAGTTTGCACTCTATTGATCCCGTGACCAATGGTCATGTTTTCACCAATTTCTATAATCGTTGCACTTATATACATTCGTCACATTTTTTTGTAAAACTCAATAATATCACATTCAGTAATGTCACATTCATCCGTTTTTTGCTGTACGACAAGCTTTTCGAGCCTGTTGATTGGCTGCAGGACAAAGAGGTTCTCGGATCTCTCTGTCCTACAGCCAATCAACAGGCTTGAAAAGTTTTATTGTATTGACATATGAAATAACATGAAGATATATGAATCGTTCGGACTGAATTATACTCTATCATTTAACAAATCATTATCCAGTGATTTATCTAATAGAAAATACAAAAATAACTGGAAAAGATAAAATAACAAAACGTAAAATGATCGTAAAAAAGGTCTAAAAACTTTGAAGAAGTTAAGATTCAACTTACTGTCTACTTTTCTTACTGTTCTACTTTTTTTTTGGTACTGGGCTTCTACTGAGACTGAAATCCTAAACTAGAAAAGAACTTCTACTTTTAATCATCAATGTAATGTAATTTATTTTGGAATAAGAGATAAATAAAGATTAAATATGTATTTATTTTCACCCTTAGTGCATGGATTTTGGATTCCACAATTGCATAGCAAGGGCACTGTTGATGCACTGTAGCGCGGAAGAGGGTAGGCAGCGTTCCCTACAATCTGGTGCCGAACAATTAGCTGCGTTCGTCGGTGCACTCGACTCTCGAGCAGATAAGCAGAGATTTATGGAATCTCATCATGCGGCCTTCATGATTCCCAAAAAGTTTGAATTCCAAGGACAGCGTGGAGATGAGGTATGAAAAAGAATGGGACAGATGAGGAGGGCGGGCGGGAGGGAGGGAGGGGAGAGAGAGAGAGAGAGAGAGAGAGAGAGGAGAGAGATCAATATTTATTTAGTGCTCTTGGACAAAGCGCTCAAACTTGTACAAAAAATAAAAATTATTGCAATAAGTAACATGTGATAAAAGAAAAAACAAACTGGTAGTGTACAAATGATTGTATTCATAGTCATGCTTTATATATTTATGGCTTATCTTCAGACGCTTTACAAATTATTTTATTAGCAACTGAGCATCTAAAGATAAATTTAAGGAAGCCTTAAGTATAAGGTCCAACCCTGAATACGGACAAATGAGTGAGTGAGAGAGAGAGAGAGAGAGAGAGAGAGAAAGAGCGTGTGCGTGCGTGCGTGTGTGTAAATTATATATATAAAAAAAATTTTGTCGCAAGATTCGACATACAAACACGAAAAATAAACAGAGTAAGTGATATGAATTACAATTATTGTTAGAAATATGATTAGAATAACAAATTTACAGAGAAGAGCGCATTATGTAATATCGCTGCCCGTCTTGCCGATCCGGTTATAACAAAGCAGATAATAGAGAGATCATGTGGCTGGAAATAGCCGGTTTTAGCCAGGTTTTAGAAAGACTGATGACATGATATCTCGAGTTTGTGAAATATGATTTGAATTTATCAAAGTGCGCGAAGTGATTGATAGTTTACGTGATGTTTATGCAAATGTATTTCTTAATATAATTATTCATAGTTTACATTTTTTTAAGTGTTCTGAGATTTGCTGGAAGATGTGGCATTTTATACTAAGGTCGAGTGGGATTAAACACTTGGCCTTGGATAAATTATCATCGCTTTTATTTTTCCCCTGCTTTTTTTTTAATTTTGAGGAATTTGTATCAGATATCCGAGAAAATATCCAGAATTCGGTCGATAATTGCCCTACCGGATGTTCGACTGGATATAGGATATTCGGTATCATGTATTTCAGATATCCGATAACCGATATCCGGTAATTTTACGATTCGGTGCATCCCTAATTTTAATGATATAATAGTTAATAATACAACTACGAAAGCATGAGAAAATGAATTTTAAAAATTATATTATTTCGGGAAAATATTCTGATTTTTTTCCCGAAATTTCTTCATAGCTATTGTCGCTTGCAATTTATCAATCTGTTTCTTCCCGATAGACGCCCGAACCCGAATTGCAAAAGATGCTGCACTCTGAAATGGAGCAACGATTGCAGCAGCTACAACAGAGGGTGACATCGCTGCGAACTGAGTCAGAGGAAGTGTGGAAGACTTTGGAGACGGCGGAAGCGAGCCTGCTTGAAATGTTGACCGCTAAAGATTATGATTGCTCGAGATATTTCGGCGAGAACGCCGTATCTACGTCCAGGCCGCCGGAGACGTTGCAAATCAAGTTACGAGCTGACAGACAAGAGACTGAAGAATTCTACCTCACAGTGAGTTTAGAAAGACGCACGATCGTGTGGTAAAATATTGATCATCGCATTAACATTCGAAAAATAAAAGAAACGCGATAGGACAAATAGAAAGCAGCTGGACGCGCATTTACTACACGCAGTATTTATTATTTTTCGAAAGAAAAATGCGGTTTTTCATTTATATTGTAAAATTTTCAAAAAAGGAATTAAAACATCGAATATGGTATTATTATTCAATTTCTTTTATCTGTAGACTATATTAAGACTGACAGAATTATTGGCATGCAGAATTAGATTTCACATTCTGTTTTAAAAAACCTATTAACATACAAAAATATAATAATGTGATACACACTATTCCACCAAATTACAACATTACTTAAAATTAAAACTAAAAAAGGACAAAAATTCAAAGTTACATATCTTTCTCTTTTTTTTTTAACGCGTTTTTAAATATTGTTCTACAATCATTTTTCGCGAAGGTAACTTTAAATTTGGTTTTTTTAATGTTAATTTTAACATTTCAACATTTTGTGTAGTATAATAATATAATAAATATAAAACGATAAGTTGGATATATATTCAGAACGACAATCGCTTATGTTATGCAACATAAAGTAACTGACTACAATAAACATTCTGATAAATTCTGTCAGTTACAAGAATTGTCTTCGACATGACAGAAAAAATTCGATTCACAAAAATCATGTTATCCTTCATGTTAATGTAGAAATTTAGGGAGTATCTTCTTGGGACATCGAGAATAGCCAGGTTAGACGCGAAACAGGAGTATATCCGACAAAGCTTGCTGGATGGCTCAAATGCTAGCCCGAACCCGTCGATTTCCACGACAAAGCAGAAGCAAGCACGCCGCAAACGAATCGGTCGTCTGCAGATGAATGGTCAACCAAAGTTATTTGGCGGTTCGCTCGAGGAGTATTTGGAGAGCACGAATCAGGAGATACCGCTGATCATGAAGAGCTGCATCCGCGTAATTAATCTATATGGCTTGCACCATCAGGGTATCTTCCGTGTGTCGGGCTCGCAGGTAGAGATCAACAATTTCCGCGAGTGGTTCGAGCGTGGCGAGGATCCACTTGCGGATGTCACTGATGCTTCAGACATCAATAGTGTCGCCGGGGTGTTAAAGCTCTATCTGAGGGAGTTGCGCGAGCCACTCTTTACTATCATTTATTTCGAGCATCTGATGGAATTGGCGCAACTCGAATCGAAACAGGACTTTGTAAACAAAATGAAGGAGATGATAGCGAGTCTGCCACGGCCAGTTGTAATCGTCATGCGATATCTTTTTGCCTTTCTCAATCAGTGAGTATTATCGCTCCGCGAAGAATTCACGTGTAAAGTTGTGCTAGATTTAAAATCTGGTCTATATTTAAACAGCTTGTCGGAATTCTCGGATGAGAACATGATGGATCCGTACAACTTGGCTATCTGCTTTGGCCCAACCTTGGTGCCCGTTCCGGAAGACAAGGATCAGGTCCAATATCAGAATCAGGTCAACGAGCTTATCAAGAACATCATCACATTTTGCGAAGAAATCTTCCCGGAGGACATCGGGGGCACTCAGTATGAAAAATACATCAGCAGAGAACCTGACGACGTGTAAGTACAAATAAGTTGATCTATTTATTTATATCGAATATTGTGTTAAGACAATTAACATTTAACATATATGTATAATATAAACATTGTAAATGAATCTAATTGTAAGAAATATCGCGACTTTTTATCAATCTTTAGGTATCTCTTGTATTTAAAAAATTTTTTTACTATTAACATAATTCATAATTTAGGGATGTAGGAGATTCACCGACGGATCAAGTACAGGAAGACATGGACTCGGAAGTTTACCCATCTGAAGATGGTAATGCAATTTTTTTTGAAGATATAAGATATCGTTAAATTAAAAAATATTTTGATAAAGTGTAATATATTCTACTTTCTATCTATTAGAATCAGAGAATCTCGAAGCTACGGCGCAGTTTGACTTCAATGCAAGATCAGAGAGAGAGCTGAGCTTCAAGAAGGGTGACACCTTGACACTATATACGCAGGTCAGCAATGATTGGTGGCGAGGCGCTCTAGCTGGCAGGGAGGGACTGATTCCAGACAAATATATTATGCTCAAGATAAAGTTAGTAATATTATATTAATTATTGTGAAATTTTATTTTAATGTTTAATAAGAAAAGACTTTACGCACCTCTTATGGAAAATTGTTTCCCGATAGAATTTATTCAAACTTTAGAATTTTATAGTTTACGGAATTTAGTTTACGGAACGCCAATCTCATCGAAAAATTTCAATCGGCTTTGGAAATAACTATACACTAAGAGAAAAGTATTTAGTACTTGTGACTATAATTGCAAAATAATTAGGTTAGGAACTTCATTTTTATGCTATAACGTTTGTAATATTTGTTATAAATGTTTGTAATAATAATCTTTATATAAATCTATATACAAAAAGAGTATATAGTTGGTATCAAAATTTACTATTTAATTTATGCTTTAAATCCGAATTTATTTGATCAGTTTTAATCTCATTTTATTTCATATTTTTCTCAGGGATGAAGAGCGCGAGAAGGAACTTTTAAAATCATCCAGCGAGGAATCTATGCGTAGAAGAGCGTCCAGCTCAGCGGACAGCGTATTGTCGAGCAATAATTCACCGCTGATGGGCCCATCGGCGAATCCGAGCACTTGGTCGTCTGGTGCAGCGTCCGACATGTCATCATCCGCCACGACGAACATAATAACGGACAATAGTAACGCCAGCGGTATTATTGCGTCCGTGGTGACGAATGTGCCCTGCATCTCGTCATCGGCGCAGCCGATCATCAGTCGAGAGGTATTAGAAACTACCGTTTAGTAGTTGATTTGACTCAATCTATGTGCCCGATTCTCTCTCCTCCTTGTATTCGCTTTTTGGCGTGTATTTATCGCACTGTTAGTATACCGACGCACCGACGCGACACAGAGTTTTATCGTCTCTCTGTACTCTTCACGACGCGTACTCAGGTGCATGGCTGTTCGAGAGCTATAAAATATCTTTTTTTTTTTTCCATCTATTATATTCTCGAGCGAACGAAATCGCCGTTTGCACAACAGATTGACAACACTCTCTTGCCTTGCACTGCACTTGTATGATATCAGATCCTCGTATCGTTTCGTTGTATAATCCGCGCGGATTTATTCTCTCATGGTCAAACGTTAAGTATCTTTCGTTCTCCATGAAAAAGTTCTTGAAAAAATAGTTTAGCGGCTGAATAAATTCGAGGGTTAATCCAACAAATTGTCATTTGTCACGAAATGTATGCGATCGTTGCCGTGATTTTGAGATATATTATAAGTATTCGAAAGAGTTTCGCGAGCAGAACCGATAACGCAGTGATGCTGAATTGGGGAAGACGACGAAACATAGGAGAGCACTTTGCTCTTATAAAGACGTTTTATTTTTTAAGTTAACTTCACAGTTTGGTATAGCACACGAGCACTTTTGTAGGACTTTTATACGAATTTGTACGATACATCTGTAAATAAAATATAAATACACATATTTACTTTGTGCTGCATGTCCTCGCCTTGTGGTTGTTCTTGTCTTGTTCGCCACCTGTTGTCTTGTCCTTCATTGCACCGTTTTTCATTATGTGCGTATGTATGTTTTGATTTTTCTTCCTTATATGTTTTTTTCTTTTTTGTTAACGATTGTTTTAACGATTGGGATGGTTGATGTGTTTCCAGATATACGTTTAGTCTCTTGGTCCTTTAGTTGGCAAGAAAAGCCGTGCTGTTTTCACGCGCCGCACACATATATTCGCAGAACGAAACGTGGACTAAAAACTGTTCGATAAAACTGATCGCCAGTGTTGTTAGTTGTGTGACTAGTTTTTTTTTTTATTATTGTCGTGTTGTGTCGTTAAACTCGCGTAATTAAGATTTCGACTGTAGAATGTGTTCAAGCTTTGTTTTCTTTCTTTCAAAAATATTTTTTTTCTTCGTCGAGTTTTGTGAGAGTTTCCTAAAGTTTCTTCGTAGAGCAAATTTTCCCTCATTGATTTGTAGATGAGATAAAAAAAATGTCGCTCGCGCGGGGGGGCCTGCTTGTTTCCAGCGGATATCCTTTCGGCTTCCGAGGTGAGTAAAGAGAGTAATCTCATCCATTGCAATATAGTTTTATATAGCCACTTTATTAACTCATCCGGAAAATAAAGAGAAAGAAAGAGAGGTAAGCTTCATCGTTTATTACGACGGTATGTGTACCCGCTTATGTGTATCTCATTGTCAGTTTTACGAGCAGTTTTTAATCTTGTCCTCCTCAAGTGGTATTGCCCTGCGTGCATGCGTGCGCGCGTGCGTGCGTATACTTTATTCCTTTATATTTGTCCGTCGATTTGCATGTAACTTAGCAATAATATTACGAAATTTCAATTTTACAGATGCTAATCCAAATCGATCGTGTGTGTGTTGAGAATTCTTTCTTCAAAGAATGATTAAAGAGGGACGGGAAGTTTGTATGATTATATTGGAGAAAAAATTTGTGAATTTCTTTCAAGGAATCGAATAAAAGAAAGGATAAAGTTTTCGTTTGAGCTATTATTTATTGTATGCGGGCTGTTCTCGGATTAAACCGCCAAACTTGAAATACGAATTTAGAATTTTAAAACAAACAAAATTTTCTTTGGAAATTTATTCATAAATATCTCTTGTGATTTTATTTTCTCTGAATGAAATACCCATTAATGATTTTTAATTAAAGCAGATAATGCAAGCGTGCGAAGAAATTACAAACGTACATTGTCAGTCAGCGTCTCGTTCTATCAGGTAGGTGTAATGTTTATCTCAGGGTTGGAGGTCATCATTTTGAATAAAACATTCAACAATTATATTTTGATTATTGTAAAACAGTAAAAGAAATAAATCTAAATTTCATATTCATACCTATAATTTTGTAACTTAAGAAATCTCTTAAAGCAAACTTCCAGAGGAAAGTTTTGTTTGTTTTGAGATCCTATTCTACAATGTGCTTTTTATTTCCTGTTTTCTGCTTTTTGCTATTTTTTACATCTTGTCTTTTTGCTTCTTATCTGGTTTTTTTTTTGTTTTATATTATCCGAGATAAAAGTTAACGAATTTTGGAAGAAACAGGAAACACGTAGCAAGCAATGCAATTGTCGATAAAACGTTTGCAAAGGAAAAAAAAGCGGGAGATAAAAAGCAAGAAACAAGAAACAAAGAGCATATTGTAGAATAGGTTTTAAATTCATATTTAAAATTTGGCAATTTAACCTGGAAACAGACAGTTTAATAAGTTTTGTTATACAACTTAATTTTTTCTATATCTGAAATATAATAATAAATAACAGAGAATTATATCGATTTATTCTTGTCCCTAAAATAAATTGACAAATTTCATCTTCAACTTAATCATATTATGTAAAGTCTATCCTTAATACTTTCATTACTAGATGGAAATTTCTTGAAACCAATTTATTTTATTAATGTATTTTGTTTAATTACACACAATCAGCACCCCTCTCATTCGGTATTTAGATATATATTTCACGTTGTCGTTATGTCGTGCAGTTGTAAAATATACACGAATTATTTCACTCGCCCCAATTTTTATCTATATATACGTTGTTACATGGAAAATTATCTGCAGGGTGTCCCACTACCATTGGATGGCCTTTCTAGAAATTCTTACAAATTCGTCGTTAACATCTTTAGAAAATTTTAATAATTGTGAACGTTATTTTGCTTTCCCTTCGTTTTCAATATTAAATATGTCAGCAACTAAATTGTAATTTAAATTGTAATTTAAATTTTAGGTTAGACAGAATTTATTTTAAAATGAATAAAGAATAAGACTTGATCGCCTGTTTCTCTGATTTATTTAAAAAAATGGACAAAGTTTTGGTCATTAACATATTTTGAAATTATGATGACATTTCAGTATTGAAAAAGCAGGTATAAATTCTTTTATCTGTGTGATTGAAAGGTACATCTATGGGTGGCGAGATTCCCTGAAAAGAAAGAAGGAGACGTGATATTCGATAATAATTCGACAATAATTCGTATCTCGTTACAGCGCGCACGATCGCTGATAGATCAAGACGACGTTGTATCTGCGTATTCCCCGCAATAGTAAACAAGACCCGTCTGTCGGCTTCGCTCAGGCAACATATACCCATTTAGCCCCTCGCTTAGCGCGCGCTTCGAGTCTCGCTACGATTGTTCCCGTGACTGTTTGCAGGCTGACACCGTGATTCCGTTGAGGCCAGTCAGAGCGTCTTCCCCTACGGAAAATGAGATGCATTCGGAGCAGCAACATAGGAACAACGCGGACGGCGTTCTCCAGATCTCTCTGGAGAACAATGTTGACAGCATCGACGGTGGTAGCGCGAATTGTGCTCAGCAGCAACGAGGCGGAAACAGCAACGAGGAAGTCACGAGCGAGGATCTGGGTAGCAATGTGCTGACGGCAATGTTGTCGTTGGACGGTATCGTGACGAAACGCGGCGCCGGTCGAAAACAGCAGTATTGGAAGTCGCAGAGCGTCGGCGAGAGCGTAATGGCGCAGCAGCATCAGCAGCTGTTGCAGCTGTCGCACACAAACTCTCTGCCGACTTCGACAACGATCGTCACAATAGCGGCGATGCCGACGACTACGACGACGGCGACGACGATGACAACAACAATGACGACGACGACGATGACCATCGTGACGCAGGACGACGAGTTGCACCAGGAGTCGCAGCAGCAGCAGCAGCAGCAGCAGCAGCAGACAACAACCAATTTCTCGGTAAATCGCGAGCTTTGGCAGCGTCGCGCCACCTCGCAGACGCAGTCAACCCCCAAATCATCGTCCTACTCCCGTACATCTCAGGAATTCCGCGAGATGCGACAGAAACATACACCTGATCTGGTGATGGATCTGCCGTTGTCGGCGCAGGATCCAGTCGGCAAAAAGTCTGCGTCGTCCAGCAGTCTGAGCAGTTCTGACGAGGAGACGACAATGCCGTTGTCTCTGCTAGCGCCGCAGCAGATGCCACTCACCCGATCGGAGGCGGCCACGTCGCCGACCGGTGGTCCGGAGTCGCCGGACATGAGTACCGCCGCTGAGCGCTTTGCCAAGCAAAATCAGTGCACTCTGAAGAAAAACACGAAGACTGCGAATTCGGAGAACGCCATCGCCGCGACTGGCAATAACAAGTTGAAGCGAATCGAGACGGTGGAGCACGACGGAACGGGTGTCGACGCGGAGAACGACGAGATCGTCCGGTCGACCAGCTCGAATCAGATCGTCGTTGACGGCGGCAGCGGCGTCGATGGTGGTGGTGGTGGCGGCGGCGGCGGTAGCGGCGGCGGTAGCGGCGGCGGCGGCGGCGGCGGCGGCGGAGGAATGCTACTTAGATCACCTCTACCACCACGCTCCACTCCTAAGATCGTTGCCAAATTCGCCGACATGCACCTGACCGGCGGCAGCCAGGTGGTTTCGTCGTTTAAGCCGCAGGTTAAGGTCAAGCCGACGATCCTGCGCAAACCGGTGTTGCCGTTCCCGCATCCGCACATGAGCCCCGAGCTTGCGCGCAAGATCGAGAAACAAGCGCAGAGCGCAGAACAGGCCAATTGAGATTGTCATTGTAATAGACCCGAGCGGAGCTCTTCGGGGGAGGGCTCTCGCTAACTTCTATTCGCGATCGACGCGCGCGTGGCCGGTTTGGCCTGCGTTTTGGACCGGAACGCAGGCCGGCGACGTGGCCGGCCTGTCTTCCGGTTCGCCTCTTTTGAGTCGGCGCCGATGAAAGTGATGACCAAGTCGATCGGCGATATCGCGTACGTTTTAAGGAGATGCATCTAGTAAATCAATTAATGATAATATAGCATCAATGTTGCAATTTCTTACTACAGGAAATACAATTATGTTACGTACAACGTGTGTAATGTGACGTTTACATCGTTCACACGCGTTGAATGGAAAATTATAATACTGATGCAATGTTATTGTTAGTGTTTACTGGGGCAAGTACATCTCCCAGTCTGTAAGATCCGCTTGAATCGCGGTCGCTCTCGGACGATGTTACTTGACAATAACCGTTTTCCCTCTCGCACGCGTGAATCATCGGAGGAGACGCGATAACGAAACGGAAATCTGAGTCGTCGCTCCATCGGGACGTCAAAAGCCGATCGTTGACAAACCGTGTATCGAAATGATTCCCGAAGTCTCACCGATTTCCAGAGGCGTGTTGTAAATTTAAAACGATTAGTACGAAAACGCGACCACCCATCGACCAGTTACTCCGCCCAGTCGCGAGAACTTGTATCGTATTAATTATTGTGCCCGAGAAGAAAGGAATGTCGCCGCGGGATAGCGACGCAGAAGCTGAATTGATGATCGCGCGACTGCGCTGGATCTGGCGCGTTGGAGCCAAGACCATGGTGCTATCCTCGCGGAGGCGAGTTTATTTTTTCTACAGATGTTTTCCATTTTCGCTAATTTTTTTACCAAGTGATCCGCGCGAAGCGATGTTTCTAGTCATCGAGCGAAGATAAGAATAAGAGAAAAAAAATAAAATGAGAAAAAGAGCGAGAGAGAGAGAGAGAGAGAGAGAGAGAGAGAGAGAGAGAGAGAGAAATGTGAGAGTGTGAGAGAAAAGGAGCAAGAAAGATGTTTAGCATCGAAGAACGTGAGTTTGTAAAGTTGGACGATGGTATAATTTATTTTTTAGCGCGTTGTGCCCGATGTGTACGCCAATGATGAATTTTCCTGCTATTGTTGTCACTATACACTTGACGAGCACTGTCGCGAGCCGCGGCTAGCGCGTTCAATGGTTCCTTTATGCGTGAACGAGTGTCAGTATGAAAAGAGAGAAGAAAGAAAGAAAGAAAGAGAAGACGTATACAGCACAGATTTCCAACGACGTTTTACTGCAATGTCCAGACGACGTTCTGAGATCGTTTCCAGAATGTCTCAGGGATATTCTCAGGACATTCCTCGGATAAAATGTAAGGAAGAACGTGCGTGCTACTCGTTAATCTTCTCATCTTCTCAAGACATCTTCCTGGTCATGGGTCCAGGTCTATTTTTGCTTGCGTCGTAGAGCGGAAGTGAGAGTGAGAGTGAAAGAGGAAAGGGTTCCCGCGACTTTACCGATAGGTTTATTGTAATAGGATACATTATTCTACTATGTATACCGCGTGCCGATCTTAATTATAGGTACTAACTAATCCAAACAGCGATGTTCGATATATTCGAGATAAAGACAACAGAGAGAGAGAAGGAGGAAGAATCTAGGTGATTTACGGTGACAACGACAACGACAACGATGACGCGAATATTTATCGATTGATGCGGTGTCGTCGAGCTGTCGTTTACTGTCGTTTATTACACTTCCGGTACCAACGAGACGAGACGAGAGGAAAGAAGGAAAAGAAAATTATAAAAGGAACACACTCTCCACAACTTACCTCGATGTTATTCCCACATCGGCATCCCCCTTCCCCCCCCCCGCCCCTCTTATAATCGATCGATGGAAGGGAGAAGAGAAAGGAGAAACTTATATTCGTGATTCAATGATTATCGTATACACGTATACGAAGTCAACACGCAGAAAAATGTATACCGTGTAATCGCGTATTCGCGAAAGGAATCCGTTCGCTCGGCAGGATTCGCGCGAATTTCAAAGATCGCGTGTTTTTAAACACGCGCGACGCTTCCTCACTTTATGTGTATATCGACTAAATGTTTAGCACGCGTTAAGTGGTTCTGGCGTCGCCAGTGTTGTCGCTATCCTTATCACGGATCGATATCTTAGCACTTACGATTGTGACCCTATACATATGTGGAGGACGTTGCCGAATAATCCTCACCTTTAATTCCGTCAATATAGACTTGAGTTGACAATTTTCTCCAATGTAAATTAATTTTTTTTTAATCTATTTTTTATTCCTACACTAGACTGCACTAGAACTCTCTCACTTTCGCTAAATATTAAATATATATTTATCTCACTTTAAGTTTCAAAAGTGTACACTAGTTCAGTCACAAAAAACGAACCCTTAGTCTCAGTTTAACTTATTTTTTTATTCTTTTCTAGTTCTATTATTCTCTTTTCTAATTCCAATTGATAAATTAAACCGAGGTTAAAGTAAATTTACATTGGTAGAAATGGATATTAACCTTTCAGAATTAACGTCAAAATCTCCAAGGCCCAAGGAAACTGGGCCTAACAGTTACTGTATAACATTGGATCTGTGAGATTCATTTAATATATGTTAATTAAAAGGCACTATATAATTAATTTCAAGGAATTAAAATATGACATAATTCGTATGAAATAAAATGACCATTAGTTTATTAAGTTAATTTTAATAAGAGCAATCCAAATTTTTACAGATGTAACATAAAGAAAATTTAATCGTTTTGTGTAAAATAGTGTAATTGCTACAATAATAGATACAAGAATTAAGTATCGATAGTAATTTCAAATAATAATGTATTTTTTATTTCAATATTACTCCATAAAAAAAAGTTGAATTATTTTTATTTATCAGAACCTTTATTATTCAATTCAGAGTGGATCCAATTAGATCCACGTCAGTTTTGAAAGATTAACGGACTTTTCTCCAATAGTGCCTCAATAAAGATACTTTTTGTAATCCAAAGTATTCGGGAAACGTGCAATTCGCTCAAAATCACAAAGCGAATAACAAAATAATTTGTAATTTATAATTCGCGAGAAATATTCTATTTTTAGTAATGCGCATCTGAAACATTCGCGACTATGAAAAAATCGATGTTGATACAAAGTAAATCTGTCGTTGTAAGGATTAATGTCGGCACGTCGATCGAGGATTTTATCAAATATTGAATGATTCGGAAAAAAAGTCCGAGCACGCGATAGCACTGGCTGAGCCGTGAGAATCGTTTAACATTGCAGGCGCTATACCCACCGCACCTATGAAATACCAAAGCGAAAAGAGAATACGACGCCCCTCGTCCACGTTGATTCGTACAATAATTTGTGATTATCAATCTTCACACGGTCTTTCCGATTTTTAAATGCTGCCCCATCGTTCTCTCTTTTTCTTTTGTTTTTATTGTCTTATATCCACGGATTGCGTATTTTTGTAATCTCTCCAACTTTTTTTTATACGGCGCCGATTACACGCCGCACGATTTTTAACGAATCTGTAAACGTAATTTAATACAACATAAATATGTATAATTTAGTGTAGCCATGTTTTATCAGTGGTTGATCTAAGAGGAGCGCATAATATCTTAATCGATCGTTTCTCCCATTAAGGCTAATGACACATATGGATATCATAATAAACGAACTTACAGGCTATACTATATTATACCAGCAAACGAGGTTTATTCGTCCGACTACATCGGCAAATTCCTCTGCATCCATCCCGATTTGCGCTTTGACGCTTTCAGGTAACATCATGATTTTCAACGTACTTTCGATTTTCGTTCCGGATTTAAAATATTTTATTCTTTATATTATTGGAATATAAAGTGTGTGTGTGTGTATATATGTATATATATATATTTTTTTTTAATATAGTAATCTTTTATTTAGCGTGTATTATATTTAGTTGATTAAACTATTTAAGAACGAAAATCCTCGTACAACAAGAAGCTACTAAGCATCTTTGATTTTACGCTCTTCGTAATCATTCAGCAGGCAAAGTCGCTTTAATTTACAAATAATCTCACTTTTATCAAAATATCGTAAAATATATATTATAACAGAGATAATCGATCCGAAGAGATCAAATGCAACTGACACAAAACGATCGATGAATCCATGAAAGCAACATTCGATATTAACAATTTTTTTTAACGATTTAACGTTGTCATGCTGATTAATTAACTCCTTTATCATATATCATTTTATTTCTTTTTTATTTGAAGGGAGTAAGTTAATTTCTGAGAAAAAAATTTTTTAATTATTTAATATCTACATAGTCTTAAAAATATATAGGATGTTTCAGACCTCGCGTCGTACCAGTCAATAGCAGATTTCTGAGATCATTTCAAAACGAAATTCCTATAAATACCAAAATGAGACTATAGTAGTTTCAAAATAAGAAAGATTAAATTGTTTTCAAGCTCAATCAATTCTATTCTCTTCTATTTTTCTAAACACCTTTATTATTACTATACGAGTATAATAATGTGCCATGTCTGAGCACGCGAATTTCGGACAGTTCAATTATATATAACTTTATATTCTTCTATAAAATCTGATTGATACTTTAAATTCTTCTTTTAAAGTAAAACTACATTAAAGAAAAATTGCAATAATGAAAAATTTTATTGCAAAATTTGGAAAATTAATGCAATTACAGAGGAGAATGTAATAATAAGTACTAACACCGACGAGATGTTATTAAAGACGGCCAATTTACAGAAGTTATAAATTCGCGTGATCGTTAACATTAAAATAATTCATAATAAAAGACACCGATAATATAATACTAATTTTATGATTTATTAATTTCATAGATATGTATATATGTTTAAAACTCAATATCATGCTCGATTTTTGTTTAAAATTATGATTTTAATGTTATCGTCAGAGTTCAATTATCAATATAGACATGATAACTATAGAGAAACGAAAATAATTTTGCGGTAATAGTATATAAGATTATAAGATATTATAGCATTACAAGTTATACTTATTTATGCAGAATTTATATAATAAAAAAATCATGAATTTAACAATTGTGTATTATCCAAACATTCATGTTAATAATCGTAATTTTATATCAATTGTCGATACTTCAATTATCCTCGGATAATGACCTCATTGATCACGAAATCATGAAAATTTACTCAGAACCGGTCGTCTTTTAATGTACTGTATAAGGTCTGTTTTCTGTGGCTGAACTAGTGTACACTTTTGGAACTTAAAGTGAGATAGATATACGTTTGATATTTGTTAAAGCGAGAAAGAGAGTTCTAGAATAATCTAGAGGGATATAAAATAGACAGGAATAGAAAATAGACCGACCAATAGTATCAGCTCGTCTGCGATGGTTTTGATTTTATCGACAGCGTCAGAAAATGGATGTAGCCACGTAATATTTAAACCAAAAACGGACGTATTGGCGGTAGTGTATGTACAGATGATTTTTCAATAGAAAAACAGAAAAAGTTACATGAGAAAAAAGTCTAGAGAAAAAAATGACATGATCGATACTCTCATGATAGAGATTTTGACTGTATAACATAGGGTCAATGATATCTCGTACTCATTCCAACACACGGCAGCTTCCGGCTGAATTCACTCCACTCTCGTTTGATTCTCTCCAATACATGGAGACACCCGAGTGATATTTCCAAACGCAGCCTAGTGCGGTACAATCACAAACGTATGAATATCTGGACGGAGCGTAAAACCGGCTTAAGGGACCGAGATCCGCGTTGCGGAGGATTCAGCCATCTTATCTGGCGATATTTGAGCGCTCTATTTGAAAATCGGTATATGTATTACGATATTATTTATATTTCCAGTGCATAAAAATAGGATTTTGTGTAAGGCAAAGTTAATTCAACGATTGTGTGCAATTAAAAATAATTTTCTGTTTATTTATATTAAAAGAAATAATGAATATATATATATATATATATATATATATCTTTTAATACAAATCGAAAATTATTTTCAATTGCACACAGCCGTTAAATATTTACAAATCAAATAATTAAAAAAGGATATGAGCCAAGTTATTTTAACGGTAAACCAAAAATAATATAAAACTAAATTTCATATAATTGAACGAACATTTCAATCTGTATACAAGATCATAATTAACGTCAAAGAACCGGTAATTACAAGTAGTAACAGTTAAAGTTGCATAAAAATCCTGTATAATAAA